AGAGTTCTTTTGTTTCCTCTTTTACAATCTATACAATGGTGTTTCTATGTCAGTGACTTAAATGGGTCAAATGTGAAAGTTCAGGGAGACTGTAAAGAACCCAGATTGGAGTTTGCACATCAGGAGAGCAATTAGAGGAAGACTGTTCGAAAGTACCTTTGCAGTCTTATCTGGGAGCCTAATTATAGTAACCAGCTTTGAAAAATCTCACCCTGCACTTTTACCAGTGTGTTTTGAAAATGCCACTGCAATATCCATGTTATTTGGAAACACGATGGGCTGTTATGTGGAAAGCTACTCTCTCATGCTTTTTACCCAGGAGAAGGAAGGTTTCTACAAGGAATTTCAGGGGTTCATGTCCCTTCCCTGCATGGTGGGCTCCTGGGCAGTGATTTGGAAGACCTGAAGCCGCCTCATCATGCTGTACTGCAAACTTTCAGGAGATGATGGCCAGATGTTTCGGCTTCCCAAAGCACCACCCTTTTAACCTGTTTTGGTGAAGAAGGGGAACAGAGCTCAAGAAAATGGAGATGCCTTTTCCCTTTGAGCAAATGTGACCAGCTCACACCTGCTGTGCGAATAATAGAAATACACAAAGGTCCAAGTGCAAATAAACTATTTAATTTAGAGGAGTTTTTGCAACCCATGTTTGTTTTTCATTCTCATGAGCTAATTATCCCCTGGGGATTTTAATCTCTTGCTTTGACATCCAGTAAATCTGTGAAATGAAACTGAAACTGGTTTGAAGGTGGAATTCCCCCTTGCCCTCCATTTTTGGTAGAGGTGTATCTGTACTTTATTTTGTTATCAACCACGGTGAGCATTTCTGATTGCAGAAAAAGTCAGAGCGAAGTAGGGTGAGGCCTGGGGGACAGAAGTGCCCCTGGCAGTGCTGCACTGGTGTCGGGCTGTGCGCCTGCCCCAGAGCCCACATCCACCATCTTCAGCCTTACATCTTCTCCTCCATGAGTTCCCTACAGGGACTAGTGTGACCCCTGATGGACTCTAAAGACCTCCATCAAGGTTGCAGTTAACAAACCTGCTTGAAAGAAAAAAGTTAGCCAGGTTGTGGGGGGAGAAAGAAGAGTCCTGGAAGGGAATCGTGCCTGGATGGTGACGTTACAGCCTGTTTTGAGTTTGCAGTGAGATTAAACATTAGTGGCAGGCAAGCTAGTCATGTGCTGTTTTGTTTCAGATAGCAGCTAATGCCTTTATTTAAATTGCAGCCACTTCTCTGAAACCTGAGTTAAAAAAAAAAAAAAAAGCGCATTTAAGCAATCCTGTCCAGGCAAGCAAAACAACTGGGCAAAACTGAGTGTGTTACGTGAGCTGAATTATTTAAACCAAAGCAAACAGCTGCACACTGCAGGTTTCATCGGTGCTGCCATCGGTCAGCGTGCGTGTGCGTGCATGTGTGTGTGTGTGTGTGCATTCCGCTCAGTTTTTGCTCCCACAAGGCATGTGGAAGGAGAGCCCAGGGAAACCAACACTGTGAGGAGGAAACTTGTGCAAACTGAAGAAAATAAACTTTCTGGTTAAGTCAAAGAAAGGGAGGCATGAAGCACATCTCTGGGATAGCCTCCAGCCTGCGGTAACACTGTGCAGTGGTGAATTACACAATGGTTTTCTGAGTCTCTGCTCCATACGTAGCTGGTGTTTTCCCCGAAGCTGCGTCAGTGAGACCTCAGCATTCAGCTGGCCGGGCTCCAGGATGGCAAGCCTCCCAAGACAAAATGCCATGTGCAGGAACACGTTAAAGCACCTATATGCTCTTTGGGGGAAAAATTTTCATCGGCTTTTCGAAATGAGAGCAAAGGCTCTTTAATCGAGTTGAGAGCAAAGGCTCTTTAAAAGAAAAGGGGAGGGGGAAGGGTTGTTTTTCTCGCATATATTATGTTTTAATTCAAATTATGTAGACAAAAAAGCCTCCTTCCATGCCGTCGCTATGGCTACAGCTCTGATCATTGTGCAGGAGCCTGCAAGCAGGAAAACACCAAGCAGAAAGGGGGCAGTGAGCCCAGGGCTCCTTCTTGCAGCCAGGTATGGCCCTCCACTGCATCCTCCAGCTGCAAGTATGTCCAAGGCCACCTTTCCCTCCCCATCCGATGGGAATGTGGAAACACTGCAGTTCCAAAATCTGCTGACTGGTTTGGCTTGAGGAGAACTTCCCAGGTCATGAGCCTGAGAGCAAAATCTAGGAGGATCTTTGCACCTCACCTCCCCAGAGATGTTATCAGCATTGTTGTAACACCCACTCTGTAACTCTTCCCCAGAGGCAGGGACTCTGCAGCAAGGAAATAGGGCAATGCAGAAGTCTGACATACCTGCAGGCCCCACACAAATCCTGTGCCTGTGCTGTGATGGATTCTGCTGGTGTGATACCAGTGATCAGCTCAAAGCCTACTGGTACTGCTTAGCCCTGATTATATGGTCACACTGCATGTTGGTGGTGTGATCATGATCCTGGAAATGAAGAAAGTCAAGTCAGGTGAGGATCTCCTGTGTCTAAACCCACAGAAAATTCTCAGCTGCATGTCTTGTTTGTAGTTACAGAGTTACTTTGGTCCCCTTGTAGCTTGAGACCGTTATTGAGGGAATTTAAAATTGGTCCTTCCTTGAGCCATGGCATTACCACATCACTCTGCTGGACACTGTACAGTAACTGTGAGAATATTTCTGCTGGTTTTAAAAAATCCTACCTCTTAGTAGGATTTCAGTGAAAGTCACATTTGAAAGGTTAGTCCTTTTCTTTACTTTTAAGTGTGAATGTTTAAAATTATCACAGTTGGTTAGAAAAGGTCTTCTCATTTAGCACTGCCTCACTTGTTTTCTGTGACTTCATGAGAATCTATTTCAGCAGAACTCATTTAGAAAATGCAACGGTAAACTGCTTTGGCAGAAGAATACGAACAAGATACGATAAACACTTTTAAATTGATTGAAAATTTGACCAAACTGCTTACTTTCCTAATTATAATGCCTAATTAGTTAAGCTTGTTCTATTCAGTCACGCAGCTTTGATAGCCTTATTGTGCTCCAGAAGTCTGGGGCCTGAGATTTAAGCAGGTCTGTCCTAGATATCTAATGAACTGTTAATTTGAAAATAAAAACATTCTTAAACTGCTCTGCTAGTAATCACCTTCTGGACTGATATATAGAGCCAAAAGGACCAACTTAAAATAACTTCAAACCACTAGGCCTGAGATGCACAAGTAGGTTGCTGCAGCTCACAGTTAACCAGCGAAGTTACTAGAGCTTCACCAGGGAAAAGGTGCAATACTCTGATGCTCAGCAAGAGGTGCTGGAGACCACCTCAACCTTCCCATACCACCTCCAGCTCGTTAATAGGCCGGTTCATTGGCCAGGTTTACTTACTCTCACCTCCTTTGGCCTGCTGATTTGCGGAAGAGTACGGGCTCAGCAAGAGCAAGTAGGGCAGTTGGTAGCCTAGCAGTTAACATGCTGTCAAGTGAGAAACCAGATTTCTGTTCCTCTTGGGTGGGAGAGGGATTTGAGCCTCAGGCTCCTGCTCGTGATATGAATGCTGTCACAGCAGCTGAGGTGCTGTGCAGACACAGGGAGTGTCTGCAGATGTTTGTTTCTTATGCAGAACCTGATCTGCTAAATCAGGGTAATTTATGTGACAGATTCTGGGCTCAATCCAGCCTGTGTTGTCCAAACAACCACTTGGACATATGCTACCTCCTGTTCTCTTCCAAGAGCTCCTGTATTTCTCCATATTGGCCTTCTCATTCCTGAGGCAACAGCTGACAGCCGTATCTCACACCTGGGCAGAGCTGGCACACTGCTGCCTATGCCTTAGTTAAAAACAAAAACAAAGCAGAAAACAAGAATAATTTCATGCTAAATGCCCTGCACAACCTGCTGCTGGCACTGGGCAGAGGAACACCTTTTTCTTAAAATGAGCTCAGCATTACCGATGATTGAAGCAGTCACTGATCACTACTCTCTAGGATGAGGAGACGTCTTCCAGATGGCACACAATTTATGCAGCAGTCAAAATTAGTTTAAAACCTTGGTTCATTTAAACCACTGCATGTTACAAAGCAGGTAAGTCTCTTCCCTTCTTTTGAAGTGAAAGCAGTGCTGGCAAAAATGTCTTTTATTGCAGGGTTACTACAGAGCAAGAGGAGAGAGGTGTAAATCTTGCACACATCCACTTTCACCGTCAATTTATGAGAAAGGCAGACACAGTATTGCAAAGTCCATAAGTCCATTTCCAAGCTGATTAAAAAGTTGATGAGTAGCACTATTTTCACTTACTGCTATACAAAGTTTTAAACACACAGGACCTGAGATACTTCACTGCTTAACACGGCACTTAATTTCAGACAGTGACCAGACGGCACTGAAACATGAAAAACTGGGCAGTACCTGAAACCGTGTACATAAACCCAATTACCAGCAGCATTCAATGTTGATGTTTTAAGACTCATGTGAGGGAGTTCTGTAATGATTTGTAAAAGTACTTTCTCCTACTCCTGACCTGTCAAACCTATTCCTGTGATTTAGGCTCTGAAGAGCCACTGGATGCACCTTCACCTTTAAGGTTACACCCTCATGACAGGAGTTCTGCAGTTCACTGGAAGTCCCAAGAAGGTAGCACCACAAGCTCCTTTTTCTGGAGCTGCTTTCTAGAGGGCCGAGATCAGCAGCCCAACTGAAGGACTCCCAGTGAACCAATGGCCACACAAACATAGCTCACTGGCACAGAGTGCTCCCTTGACAAGGTGCTCTGCAGCACACAAGAATCAGAGGTTGATCTCAAACCCCTCTAAACACTCCACTTCAGCACAAGGGCTCAGAACCTCAGCCCTGGGTTTTGCCAGCACACAAGCGGTCCTTTTATCACTCTGAGGCTGTGGTAAATCATGCTTCACACATGAAGATGTTTGGGTGTGTAATAGTGTCTTTTATTAATTTGCATCATGTTATCCAATGAAAGCTGTATCTGAGAATTAAAGTCAAAACTACTGCCATGAAGTGAAAACACTATTTATTTTTATAAAAGGCAATAATTAAAACAAACTCTACCAGTGTGTACATTGTACACATTTGAATGACACTTACAAGAATGAAGTTTCCATATACAAAGATTACAAGCCCACACTGGTAAAGGATGCACACAAGCATATACACAACTTCACAGATGCCTCAATTCCAGATCACAGTACTAATTACTCTATGACCACACCTGCATAGCATTTTCATTATTAGCATCCACACTACTTTATTCCACTACAAACTGTACACAGAAAGCAAAAAGGAGTTTATTCAGAGAGCATATATATTCGCAGAAAGAATTTATTTGCTGGAATAATCTCTCACTCTTCTGTTGCCATCTTCAAGAGATATTCTTTGTCAATTTTGAAGAGCCTCCACCCCTCCTCAGTCGACAGATCAGAGGCACCTCTTCTCTTATAGAACCTGATGGATGGTTCGTTCCACTCTGCAACGAGGAAGTGCATACTGCTGCAGCGGCACTTCACAGCAACCTGCAAAAGTGTGCAACATGACATTTCAAACAACAATCCCAGATGATAAGCCTAGTAAGAACCGGTGAAACTACTCAGCACAAACTGTGTATGACCACAAGTCATCAAGTTCATTCTGTCGGTCACTTCAGCACTTGACACTGTTTAACAGCCTCTAGACAATGTTTTAAGCTGTCTAGTATCCTTTTACCTCCTTTAACTCAGATTAGTGCTGAAGGGGAAGCTCTCATGCAGTTAACAGAAGAGCAAGAATACTGCCATGCCATGTGTCCTCAGTTCACTTTAGACATCACTCAGACATACCTGACTCAAGTTCTTCAGAATTTCTGACCCAATGCCCAGTCCTAAAAAAAACAAAACCAAAGAAACTATTTTAATTTTAAAGATGCCCTACAGGAAGTAACTCATCTAATTTTGTAATACATACCTCTATACTCAGCCATCACATAAAAATCTTCAAGATACAGCAGTTTTCCAATCCATGGATCATAAGTGAAGTAATACATGGCAAAGCCCACAATGCAGTGTTCTGAAACAAAGGGTGTAACTTGAGCTAGTCTGAATTTAAAAGGCAAAAATATTAAGTCTTACATGCATGTTTAAACGTACAGATTCTGTGACATGCAGACATTTGCTACTAGGTTAGAATTAAGAATGAGGTTTGCAAGTAAGCACACAACTGAAAATATGAGTTCTGACAAACTTGTATCAACCTGACACAACCTTGCTGTACCCTGAAATCCTCAAAAGCAATAAGTGCTGAACACAAGCCTTCTTTTCTATGAACAAATGCATACCCTATTGATGTATCAGTATTTTCATTCTGGAATACAAGTAAAAACTTTACACATCAGTTCACAATCTCAATGACTGCCCCAACTCTGCTTCCTTAGTAACCAAAACAGTCTATTGAACTCTCAAGGACACTGATCTTTCAATGTATATTCCTCAGTTAACTACACTGTGTGAGAGAGCATGCTGACAGGCCACCTTTACAGCAGCATTTCCAGCACCTCAACTTCTGCTTCCACTCAGAGCATCACGCTGTTTTCTTGACCTTCAGCACCATAAAGTCAAGGTAAGTAAAGCTGCAGTTTCAATTACAATTCTGTGGCTCAAGAGGGAAGAGAAACCAACTCTTTTTCCAACAGCAGCCCACTCAAACCTAAACCTTGAGTATTTTAATTGTATCTGCCATTAACTCTCTGCACATACTGTAAGAGAAGCGTGCAAACAGATTTCTCATCTACTGTGTCTTTGGTAAAGGTTTGGGAATAGCACTTGTCCCTGTAGACCTTACCTCATATTATGATCATCTACTTTATTGTGTAACGGATCTTTTAGTTACCTCCCCGCCCATCCATGTACACGGAAGGGCCATGTACATGGCGAAGCTAGAGACTGTAACCTGAAGATTGGGGACAAATTAAAGAAAAAAATGTGATTCAACAGGTTTACATAAAGGTAAGTCAGGGTCAAACAAGAAAAGCCATTTAATTAACTGGAGTCAAGTACATTACGTTATACCTGATCTTCCCACTCCTCCAGGATTAGCAACTACTTCAGCAGAGTATCACTGTATGTTACTGCATTTAACAGTTAACCTATTCCTCCTACCCCAGTGCACTGGTGGGACCTTACGTATAACCAAAAACATTAAGTACAAGATGCCTCTTGTGTATTTAGTGTCTAAAAGTAAGCATCAGGAAGTCTCACCTTCAGACGACCACTGTTCTTTTGGCACTTCTGCAACCAGACAGTGGTAGAAAGGGTGCTCGCCAAAACCATCCTCAAGCAGTTCTAGAAAAGGAAAACAAATCGGCACCTGAGCTACATACAGAGACCGTCAACAGGCCACCAGCCCGCCGAACCGACGTCGCTTTTATACCTTTCTCTGTTAGCACCACTTGATCCTCCATGTCCTCGTATTTCGCTAGTTCCTGGAAGAGAAGGCCGTGTAAGCGGACTCTCCCCGCAGGCCCCCGCTTCCCCATTGGCCGCTCCCTGCCCCCCCGCCGCCTTGCGCAAGAGCTTGTTTTTGTTCAGACATAAGGGCAAAGTGCCCCC